CACGACTTAACATCTTTTGCCATTTTGTCACTGTAAAACTGTTAACTTTCTGTAAGGGTTCTCCAATATTTTTTGCAACACAAAAGCTGAAAATTTTAACATGACTTTACGTTCTACTCCGTGGGACCACCTTGCGCTGATGGGAGTCTTTTTGAGTATTTACCCACCAACTTTGCACACAGATGGAAATTCTACCAAGATTATAGCTCATACTCAGACGTGTCCATAACTTCGATGAGAACCTTCTGAGGTCATCCCAGAACAGCTGTCTTAAACTGAGCTTGAAAAACAAATCGATCGGGTCTAGGGTCATGAGAGTAACAGGAGGCAAGCCACGCTTTTCGCATTTTATTCGTCAAAGATTTTGAAAACCCTGTACGTTTATTAGCGTCATTAGTCACAATCCAAACAAAGCCCGGTTTGCAATTCTTTACGGTCATTACCGACGACCATGAACTTTTCCTTTCTTGTCATCGGTCTGAGTCGTCTGAGAGAGGCACGTTTATCTTCTGAACCTTTTCCAAAGGAAAATAGTGTTCCAAGGCTCCACACCTAAACGTTCATCTTGTGTTTTCCTTTCAATTTGTGTACTTTAACACAAGAAATTCCAGTCCAACTGCATAATTTATGCCTCTTCCCCTTGCGGCTGACTAATCCAGCTCTGACAAAACAAGTTGATCATGGAAAGCAGTTTCTTACTGAGGAAACGGGGGGAGCACCTGAGGGTGACAGTGCAAGTGAGAAGAAAGGATCAGACCGGTCCTAAGCGGAGGTGAGAAGTGGTGGTGATGATGATGAGGCAAGTGGTGGCCCATCTTATCAACTGATCCAGCAGAGGCGGTGGCAGAGCTTGGAGCACACAGGCTGTTCACATGGGAGGATCATATCCTGTCTTCATCCCCTCTCCACCTACCAGCCACCCCTGATTTTCTTTTCCCTTTATCCCCCCTGCAGCTTGAGGTATGAACCACATAACCTCACAGATCTGATAAGCAGTCACTTTAACTCTCATAGCCCAAGCCACTACAGAGCCCAATCAGTACAATTGGATTGTACTGATTTTTTGATTTATTTATCTCATTTTACCAGCCTAACCTGTAGATGAGCATGCAGTCAATGAGCATGCCTCCCATCTTTGAATTGCAATGTGTGTTTAGCCCATAAACGAGGAGTATAACGCAGGATAGCGAGGCAGACACGCAGGAGACACAGAGGGGAAGAAAACGCCCTTCACCCCAGCTTGTGTTGAACCCCCCCGTCCTTCCCCTCCACCTCCTGCTTCTACTACACATCACCTTTGCATATGGTTTTCCTCTCTCTCTCTAACAGACCGCCGAGGCCACATCTGGACTACACCTCTGATTTCTGCGCGTTTTTTCCTTCTTCCTCCCCCTGTCTTTGTTAGCCATCTCTGCGCTGCCTCTCACCCATGCGATCACACGCTTGGAGACATCATAATTACCCTGTAATGACTCCCGATTAATTAAATAGCGGAGATCTGATTCATCTGCCTGGCGACAAAACTCGTTTTTCTCGCAAAGGATCGGCGCAATTTAAAAGGCGCAGGAAAGGATGAGGTGAGGGCGCAGACACAGGAGGTGGAGGGAGAAAATCACACGCCGATCCATAGAAAATATTATAGTAAGGAAGCGGATGGGGAGGCGAACGCGACACTGCGTCACTTTGTGCAGCGAAATGCGTTAAAAAAAAAGGAGAAAAGTTGTACCTTTAACTTGAGTTTCATATTCGGCCACGATCTCCTTGTCCTTTCGGAATTTCGCCGGAGACGTCATGGCTGAGTTTGGAGATCAGATCCCACTTGTTTCCCCCCACTCTGAACAGCTCGCTTAACCGGCTGTGGGTAGGAAAAAGAAAAAAAAGAAAAGAAAAGAAAACGACACTTCTAGAGCAAAAACAAACAAACAAACAAAAAGAAAAAAGCACGGGGAGATCCCGGGTGGGGAGACGGCAGCTCCTCTCCTCTCGGTGCGGTCTGTATTGTCTCCCTGCCTCGGCTTCACTCAGGGCGCATTGTGAGTTTGGCGCGGCGGCTGCTGCTGCTGCTGCTGCCTCTCCGCCTCCTCAAAACCGGTTGTGGTGAAAAAAACTTCAAGCGGAAAAAGAGTCATTCCCCTCATAAAGGAACGATGAAAATAAGACCTGAGACGCAGAGCGCATAAGTGAGCCCTTCCAAAACTTGCTCCGACGGCGAAAAACTCTCCGAGAGGCTTTTCGCCTTGGTGCCCGCCCGCCCGCCTGAACTCAACTGATCTGTTCTTCTTCCTCCTCCTGGAGTGAGAGAGAGAAAGAGGCAGGAAACCGAAGTGGTGATGGAGTGTTTGGTCAGCTCTACTGCGCAGGACAAGCATGGATGCCTGCGTGCACACATGGGCAGAACTCACACGGGCAAGCAAGGGAGCAACATCTTATACCTCCACCATGGAATACAGTCCAAAGAGTTTTTTTTTGTGTTTGTTTTTTAAGTTAACAGACAGACCCTTTTTTGGTTCCCAGAGCAGCGAAAAGCTTTGTGCCTCTTTCAGATTTGTGTTGTTTATGCGATGTTGTCACACTTCAACAAGCGTTCCAGATTCTCAGGCTGATTTTAATATCAGACCATTAGAGGTAATGGAACAATCAGTTTTCAGTGATTTATTAAGGGAGGAAAAGCTATTTCAAACATTTCAAACTATCTGAAAATGTAACTTTATGTTGTTGAGTTACGTTTTATGCCTCTTTATCCATAGTTTTTCTTTATATATATATATTATTAATTTTTTTTTTTTTTACCAATTACATCCAAGAAAGATTACTGCCAGGCCTGTAAATGAAAAAAAAAAAAAAAATTAATAAATTAATTCAAAACAACTCAACAGGTAAACAGAAGTCTCAAAACTCAGCACATCACAAGAAGCAAATTCACTAATATAATGTACATCAGTCAGGAAAGGATAACAATGGCATTTCTAAAAGTGTAAAACTCCATAAAATCACAATTAAAGCCAATATCAACGACACAACGATGAGCATTCCCTGGAGTTCTCTGTCCTGCCTTTATTTCTAGCGAAATGACTCCAGGAGGATACTGACAACTCATCCAGGGAGGTGACGACCCAGAACAACCTCAAACACTCTCATGTTTTTACCTATGTTGTCTAATTGCTTGTTTTTCACCCATCTTTATTCTGATCTCTATTTTATCTTTTTTTTTTCCTTTACTGCACCCATGGGAAGCACTTTGGTTCAGCACTCTCTGTTGTGAGAACGTGATTAATTGTGACAAGAAAATCAAAAGCAGAAGAAGTCTGTAAGGGGGCATTTCACTAAACTGTCCAATTTGCCGCTCAACAACATGTCAGTTTGTCTTTGGTTTTGTCTTCAGACATAAACAAAAGATATTGGTCATGTCTTTTGTGAAACAAAAACATAAACAATGTCTTTTGCTGTGAGACAATGTTTATATATATAAAAAAATCTTAATAAAATCTAACAAACTTCCACATGTATGGGTGAGCTCAAATAATCCAAGTAATCAAAGCTTATTTGGGTTTCAGAATGCTCAGCTGTGTGTTTCTGTCATTGTTTCCTCTTCATTTAGACATTTGAGCATGCGGTGGCAACGTCCTGTGGAAAGATGGCTGATTTAAAATTCCATCCCTTTATATTTCAACTTATTACACACTTCTGAATGCTTCACTTGTTGCCATTGCGGTGGGGATGCGTGTTACAGATATGTGTTCAGATAATATTTAATCGACCCATATATGTTTTCGTGGTCAACATTGCACAACACCTTCGCAGAAACAGCGCCCTCTACAGTCACTGTGTGTGACTATACCAGGTTCATGTCTATTAATTTAGTGCGTGGCTTGTTGATTGGTGGGATCAAAATAGAGCAAATACGTTAAACAAATTGTGCGTTAGCTATTTTTAACAGAGGGAAGCTTTAATTTTGAATGAAATATCAAAATTAAAAATTAATATCCTGACATTTTATTAATTTGATTCAAGTTGGGTGGGAAGCAATTCTTCACAAAGTTTATCATGTCATTAATTGCTGGCAACATGAGCAACAAAGTTTAACAGAGATAATATAACAACTATGAGTGCCCCAAATGGAAAATCAGGTTTCACAAAATCAGTTTTAAACCACTTGCAACCATTGTAGAACGACTCAGTCCAGACTTTATTTGTCTGGCTCTTCCCAGTCTAATGTGATTCTAATCAAGGAAACACTGAAAATTAACTGTTGTTGTCAACACCAATAGAAAAAAAGATAAATCACAATATGTTTTTAGAGACTCTCTTTTGTAACTGAGCAATGGCTCAGTAACATTGAGTCATTGCTCAGTTACAGGATTTTGAATCAACAGATAACAAAATGCAATCTCAACTCTTCAAATCAAATACCAAGACCTTTAACCTTATCATACCATACCAATTAAGATTTAAACATCATCAAAGGTGTACAGTAAATTGTTCTGGTGTGCATAGTCCCATTCACTAAACGACTTCCATGAAGTGCTTAAGTGATCATAACTTTTTTCTGTTTTGTTTTGACTTTGTACCTTGTCAGAGAGCCATTTCTCATGTTACTTCCTTTTTCCGTCCTTTATTGTTCTATATTTTAGCAACAAGGTGGAGGAGTTCAACGATGGATCTGCTCGTTTATGCCCCGGATGCACTGGATGAAATGGTTGCGCAAATCCCGTCTACCCGGAACACCACTTTCTGTCCCGTTGGCTGACAAATGATGCGGACCGACTTTTAGCTCCTCAAACAGTGGCACGAGATTTAAATGGCATTTCACTTAACAAGTGTATTTATTTTATTTTATTATATTTTTTTACATTATTTACAGAGGGCTTTTCAACTTCGATTTTCAACCAATCAGATTCCCGTCCTGCAAAGAATCTGGCCAATAACATGAGCTCCTGCAGCAGTCGTCCAATGAGAATCCGATGTCGGGTCTTTTAAACGTGGTTTTAGGAAGCGTCGTTAAACACCAGGAAGTTGTAAACAAAGCTGACAGCTATTGAGTTAGCTGTTAGGTATAGCTGCATTGGTCTTGAAATAGCTGAATAAAAAGGCGATATTCGTTACTTTTAAGTAATAAAGCTAATCGGTTTCAATGTAGCTGTCGTTTTGCGGACATTCCTCGGATGTATTTCTCTTAGGTACGGTTACCTGTCTTCCGTTTTAGCGCTGAGGGGAGAAAAAACCCCCAAAACAACTAACGCTTTTGTACAAGGACGTTAGGACCAGTTGCCGTTGCAGCATCGACAGTAAACGTTAATCGTCCGCTATTTACCCGATCCACACTGGTTTAACACCGCCGGCTTTGAACAACGAGAGGGGGTTCATCTTTGTTAGCTAAACAACAATGTCCACGTCCAACGCCAGCTTTAAGAACAAATGCGTGGCCCAGGTGAACTGCATCTACTGTGACAGTCTGTTGTGCACCAGGGGGATGAAGGCTGTGCTTCTCGCAGACACCGAAGTTGAGCTCTTCTCCACGGACATCCCTCCAAACAGGTAGGTGCTAACTTGGTTAGCCTAGCTGCTAGCCTCTGTTTATGTCCGCCACTGGGTAGGAATTAGCTTCAAAAGCTGTTGTTCAGTGAAGTATTGCGCATGGCAAGACTCGATATTATTTTTTGTCCACGTATTTAATGGATTGTGTGTCTATTTGAATGCTTCCTCCCGTCAGGACGGTTGACTTTGTGGCCAGCTGCTACTCGACCGATAGCTGCAAATGCAAACTGAGAGACATTGCATGTCTCAAGTGGTGAGTTCACTTTATCGTTTTCTTCCAGGCTATCAATAGGCATCATATTAACTCAGAAATTAGGCTTGTTTATGTTTTATAAACAAAAAGCTAACTTCTTTTAATTTCCCACTTGCTTTGGCTACTTGAACGAGTCACTGGTAATTGCTAAGCAGTTTCATTGCTGTAGATTTGAGGTGAGTTCACAGTGCAGCACAGTTTGAGCCTCTTTTGTATTCCCAGTCTTTTGTTGTTGTACACAGGACAAAAAAAAACAAAACAAACACCTGGCAGATAATAGTGGAGTTGGCACTTTTCACACATGTCCCCTGGAAAAGAGCTGACCTATGGTTTCTTCTTTATTCCCTCTAACTCCTGCTCACAGTGGCAATGTTGTGGGTTACCATGTGGTTGCCCCCTGCAAACCCTGCTTGCTGTCATGTAACAATGGCCATTTCTGGATGTTCAACAGCGACGCTGTGTCCACTCTCAACAGACTTGATGCTACGGGTTAGTATAAGGTCTCCCTCCTCTTTTATGATTTTTTTATTTATTTTTTTTTTTACCAGGAGCTTTGTTCTTTAGGCACCCATGTTAAAGATGTGCAAGACACCTTAAAAGAAACTTTTCTTTTACCGCTGAAGATTAAGGGTTGAAAAATCGAACCTTTGAAATTGCACTCCATTCCGTCAGTTGGAAAAACTCCCATTGCTTTTCAATATAACAGTCAGTAACATTTCACTATTTGGATAAAATAAATGTAGCTGAAATTGAGTCTTTATTAAATTTCTCAGCATCCTAACAATTTATCGTCTTCTGTTACCCAGCTGGTCATTTTGTTTCACACAATGAAGATCCATATTTATTTCATCATACACAGAGGTTTATGTTTTCATCAGAAAGCCTTCACCTGTGGTTTTTGCTCCAATCATTTGCTATTCATACAAATATCTGATCCTTACAACCATCTTCTCAAAAGATGATTTTTTGTTGTGACTTGCTGTTTTCAAAATTTCTAATTTAACTTTATGTAAACACCCAGTGCATTTATCTATTCCAGACATCTTCCTTTTAATGTTGAAGTTTGTTTCAACAAACCAAAATATCAACAGATGAGTTGATATGTTTGTCATCTGATTTTATTCAAGTTTGATTAGCATTGACAGCATTGATTGTGCCGCTGTTCCGTTCGTTTTGTTTCCCTCCCCCCACTAAATGAATTGGCATATTTAAATACATTTTCAGTGTGAAATTTTGCAGCCGCAGTGAAAGATTAATTCTGTTCAACCACTTCCATGTCGTTGCAGAGGGCGCCAATGTGGGCTGATATAAACATGTGGTGTCTTCCTGTTAAATATTTAAATGTTTTATTTATTTTTTTTAACCTAAATATCCGTGCAGGTCTAAATCTGCTCCTTTGGGGAGATCTTCCAGAGTTGGATGACAGTGAAAACGAAGAATCGGAAAGCCCGTCAGAGGAGGAGTGCATTAGGTAGAGTGCAACACGGACAATGTAAGAGGAACCTAGTGGACGACATTCATTAACTGGGGAGGTGGAGCTGGAAGAGTGTACAGACTATGCTGGGAGGAGACCAAAAAGAGAAGCATTAAAGGGTAACTGAACACTGAATCGCATAAGGCTGATAAGCTCTGCTGTAATCCTCTGTGTGGGCTGTGACTGCAGCTTCTAATCATTCGTCAAACTGATGCTGCAGCAGGTGTTTCGTCTTTGATGGATAGCGGGGAACACCTGCTGTGACATCATTGGGGCGTGGCAGTGAAGCAGAGGTGCACCAAAGTTTTTGTTGAGTTACCCTTTAAGCTGTGGCCATGCCTTTCTCTTCTTTAATTTACAATGGTAAAGCACAGATATATATATATATATATATAAAGCTGATTTATTCAAGCTATTATAAAATATGTAGCTGAGGAGATCGGAGGACATTCTTGCCTCTTACTTTCTTTTTGTTTAACGATGAGTAAAGCAGAAGAAGCGATAGAAGATGGCATTTAATTTATTTCCGACTCTGTGAAAGGATGGCCACAGCTCACCCAGTTGTGTTCTGTACAGATAACATGCTGTGATTGAGAGCTGTGTCTTAAAGGCCTATATGTGTTCTCGCTGTGTGGCTTGGTGCTGAATGAAACCTCGAGTGCTTTTTGAATCTCACATATTAGAGAAATGGCACAAATATTCAATGATGTACACGTTCCTTGCTTTTCAAAGGGCACATAGTATTTAAGGTACCATACAATTTCAAATTGTATACAAGTGAAAGATGTTACCATGGATAGATTTTATTTTTGGTTTGTACACTTGTGATGGCAGCGTATTTAGTATTTAACCCCAAGGTAAACCAGTTTTCCTTACTAACATACTAACTTATACAGTATGTAATATAAATGAGGGATCTAATTTAATGAAATGAGGGAATGTATCAAACATAAGCTTTGCAAGGGTGTCAGGATCCAAGATAAATTTATTTATGCAACATCATACCTGCAGCACCTGAAGAACAAGAAACAAGTCAACCAAGGGGAATAATCATGGATAGTTAAAATATTTGCCTTTTATAAATGGGCCTTAGTCATGCATTTTATAGGTTGATCTACAGAGCTTTTTAGAGAACTGTTCAGGGTGGCACACTGAATGGTGAAGCTGACAACTTCTAAGGTTCAAACCTCTTTTCACATTGTGTTTGCCGACAATGAAGCACTGTCCGGTTCTGTTTGTTGGACAGAAAGGACCAGCAGGTCAGAGTTCAAACTCAAAAGGGCTCTGGGTCAAATCGCTCCTTGGCCAGTTTGTACCTCAATGTTGCCATTTTCTCCCTTCTTACATGTATATTTTTACCTGCAAGAAAAAGGTTCATACCTGCACTTAGCCATTGTGCACAAGTTTAAATTAATTGAGCAATTAATTGATTAATTCTATTGATGAGCAATCATAAAAAAAATGCTAAAACCCCAAATATTTTACATTCCTTGTACTTACTGAAAACATGAAATTATGCCATATTTCCACTAATTGCGGTTCTGACAGACTGACTCCGACACAAACCAGAAAATGGTTTGTGTTGGCAAAATATTGGAAATGACCATAAAATTCATTGTGAAATGGGTACAGAGTGTTTCTCTGGTGGATATGAAGTGATACTTGACTGGTCCTGTAAAAAGACTACTCCTTTTCATTTATGGTGAAGTTGTGCATGAAACTTGCAAGACTAGGAACATTTGAAAGGTGGATGTGACCAGGAACCAACTACAAGCAACTACTCTCTCTGTATTTGTTGATTCGCCTCTTTGAGCTCTTGCTCTCGCATCTTTGCTGTGTAATTCTATGATCTGGTCTTAAAGTTACAGTGAGATTAGCATTCAGTAAGAAATTAATAAAATTTACTTGTGGTGTCTGCTATCGCTGTTGAGGAATCGAACATTGAATGTTTTATCGTTAATATATATTTTTTTCTTTTTTTTTTCTTCACCTGAAGGCTGAGGATAAATAATGTGACTAAATAAGTCACTTTGCCCCCACGTTCATCTATGCTGCAGCTTTTAATTCAGAAAAAAAAACACATTTAATGAGAAAAATCTTATTTTATTTTTAAATAGAAACTGACAGTCTGTATCTTTTCAGACCAATTTCTGTCTGTGTAAGAAATGGTGCATTACCTACATATTTATTAAACTCAAAAACCAAAAGACTGTTTTTTCTTTTCTTTTTTTAAAGTTAACAAATGGATTGATTTGTATTGTGCTAATGTTTCTGTTCTATATTTAATGTGTCGATCTTTAGTGCTTTGTTTTGTACATAAAGGGTTGGATGTGTACAGTTTTACCTCAAGATGGTATGATGTGTGAATTTCCTCTGGCTAGGATAATTGTTTAAAAGATAATCAAATTACTTAAAACGGTTGTTTCTGACGATTGATTAACAATGCCCATATGGAAAATACAAATATCTATATATTTTGGAATTGCACTAAAACTGCACTGGTAGTTTAAAAATGATTTGTTGTTTTGTATGCTTGTTAAGTTAATAAACTTTTTTTTTTTTTTTTCCCCAAATGATCTCGATGCCATTATTTATTTATTTATTTTTTCCATCAGGTTTTGTTCTTTTTTTTTTTTTTTTTTTTTATTGCAACGTTCAATCTGAAACTTTGAGACGGACGGCTCTGCTGATTTTGGTCTCGATAAAACACAATGCAGCAACGCCAGTCGATGAAGTTCCTCACTAAATCACCACTGACTGGAAAAATCACAGCAGCTTTGGATTCTGTGCCTCCAGCGTTTCTCCATACTCTTAAGACCTTGATTTCCAAACTAAGAGGATTGTGGACCACTACAAACATCCAGTGTTTTTAGCAATGATATTTTGTGGCTGTCCCACCTCGTAGGGGTTGGTGCCCGTCTGTGGGACAACTTCTTCCAGTCAGCATTCTTCCCCCGTGATTATGTGAGGCCTAACATGACATTTTAGTGAGACCATCTGATCAGGATTCCGCTTGGCTATATCCTTAGGGAGGTTTATTTATTTATTTATGTTTTGGGCATGTTCCGCTGGACGGAGATCTCGGTGCAGACCCAGAGATCACTCAGGGGATTATATGTCTCTTCTGGTCTGGGAATCCCTTCAAAATCCCTCTGGATGAACTGCAGGGTGCCGTTGGGCATAGAGACAACCAAGTTTCCATGCAGAGCCTGTTAACCCTATGACCTTATCTCTGGAAAGCAAAGACAACTATTGGTTTAATAAAAAAAAAATAATATATATATATATATATGCAGGGTTCACAGCAAGTTGAGACATACCATAAAAAACTTGCAACTCTATTGCAGCAAACGGCGATCATGGAAATGGAAAATGTTTATTTGTGCGAACTTTTCATATTTACTTTTGTAAGATGGTTATTGTAACGTCTCAAAATTTGGAAAAAAGTTGTAAAAGTTTTTGCAAGACACGGAACACAGTTTAAGCTTACAAAGAAATACAGAAGTCCAATTTAAGTCCTGTGAGCTCAGGCACAACCAATAGCACTTAGCAAGTTTATTCTGTGAGCAAAGACTAACAAAGTGTCTACAAAGACTGCAAAGTAATGTCAACATTGACTGATTTCCATCTATTATCAATGAAGATATTGTAATGTCAGTGTGTGAGGCTGTTGTATTTTTCCATCTTAAACACATTTTCAAGCATCCCTCACACATGGATGTTCTTGTGAGCCACTGTGTTGAGCAATGGTGAAAATGAATCATAATTGATGTTCATTATACCAGCTTCTCCTGCTAAGACATGAATGTTTTGATAAAGTTTCTTCTATCCAAATATTTACTGCCTCAGGTGAAAGCCAATAATAAGGTTAGAGAAATAATGGAGCGCTTATGCAAGAAGCGAAAACACTCTCACTTAAAGATGTCTTAATGACAACACTTTGGTGTTTTATGTTTTTAGGCTTTTCACGTTAGAATCAAAAACACTCAGCCCCAGTGCGTTGTGTGATCATTTTATAAGAGTGTAACCCTTGCCACGTAGTTTGGGGGGGGAAATCTCTAAAGATGACCGTGGCGCCCTCTGCTGGATCGCACACGCAATCAGATGCTTAAAAAAAACCCAAACAAACTTGCAGCCCATCAATCGTAAAATTGAAATAAGAAAGTCGCTTTCATTTGAACTCCAAATAAACCTAATCCCAATTTGATTCATTCTCCTGGCAGATTTAGATTAAAAGTAACACTTTTAAATGGAGACACGTGTCATTTTTTTTTCCAGGTTTTACTTACATTTTCTGTAAAGGAGCCTTTGTGAAATTATTTACATCTTTTGAAAATTATGAAACTGCAGAAAATTCAAGTTTCTACACTGATTGAAATAGTCCATGCTGTTCTGAAGCATCCCAATTATACTGATATATAATTGGGATTATATATCAGTATAATTGATATATATTGATATCAATTATATATATATATATATATATATATATATATATATATATATATATATATATATATATATATATATATATATATATATATATATATATATATATATATATAAAAATTCCCTTCTCACCCACCGCGGGTGGTTCTTATCCTCTGAGCTCGGGTCCTCTACCAGAGGCCTGGGAGCTTGAGGGTTCTGCGCAGTATCTTGGCTGTGCCAAGGACTGCACATTTCTGGACTGAGATGTCTGATGTTGTTCCTGGGATCTGTTGTAGCCACTGCTCCAGTTTGGGGGTTACTGCCCCGAGGGCCCCGATGACCACAGGCACCACTGTGGTCTTCACCTTCCAGGCCCTCTCCAGTTCTTCCCTGAGGCCCTGGTATTTCTCCAGTTTTCCGTGCTCCTTTTTCCTGATGTTGCAATCACTTGGTATTGCTACATCTACCACAACGGCTTACCTCTGATGTTTATCCACTACGACAATGTCTGGTTGGTTCGCCATTACCATTTTGTCTGTCTGGATCTGGAAGTCCACAGGATCTTAGCTCTGGTGTTCTCTACCACCTTTGGGGGTATTTCCCACTTTGATCTCGGGGTTTCCAGTCCATATTCTGCACAGATGTTTCTGTACACAATGCCTGCCACTTGGTTATGTCGCTCCATGTACGCTTTCCCTGCCAGTATCTTGCACCCTGCTGTGATGTGCTGGACTGTCTCAGGGGCCTCCTTGCACAACCTACACCTTGGGTCTTGTCTGGTGTGGTAGATCTGGGCCTCTATTGCTCTGGTGTTTAGGGCCTGTTCCTGGGCGGCCAGGATGAGGGCCTCTGTGCTGTCCTTGAGTCCAGCTTTTTCCAGCCATGGTAGGATTTACTGATATCAGCCACTTGGGTTATTTGCTGGTGGTACATCCCATGTAGGGGTTTGTCCTCCCATGATGGTATCTCTGGCACCTCAACCTCCGTTCCCTGTTGTCTGAGACATTCACTGAGCACATTGTCTGTTGAGGCTTTGTCCCTGATGTATTTATGGATCTTAGTTGTTTCGTCCTGGACAGTGGTTCTCACACTCACTAGTCCTCTGCCTCCGTCCTTGCGGCTCGTGTACAGTCTCAGGGTGCTGGATTTGGGATGGAACCCTCCATGCATGGTTAGTAGCTTTCTAGTCTTAATATCTGTGGCTTTTATCTCCTCCTTTGGCCAGCTAATTATTCCAGCAGGGTATCTGATTACTGGCAGGGCACAGCTATGCCCTATATATATATATATATATATATATATATATATATATATATATATATATATATATATATATATATATATATATTATATATATATATATATATATATATATATCAGAAGCCTGTTTGATGGAAACAGGTGTTTCCATCAATTTAACAGGTGAAAAAAGGAGCTCTGCTTTGTGGATTGTGGCACTTTATCTCTGAAACAAATGCTCATTGAGAACCTGCAGCTGAACAGTGTGGAAGGTCACAACTTGTAAGGCGGCTACAAGGCCATGTGTATGGCCTCATGTCCTAGAGGTCAGAGCAAAAATGGTGTTTAAAAATCTAATGTGTACAACAAGTCATGGTCTCAGAAATGTAAATAGAATCTGATTACTACTAAGGTTTGAAGAATGAGACCTTTCGTCTTCTGCTCTGTGGTCAGATGAAACAAAATCATTTAGCCACAACGATGTTTTCAATTGGTGTTAAAACAGAAAGCAATCCTAAGAACCCCCTGTGACCCCGGTCCACATGGACAAGCATCATCCTGGGAACTTAAATGCTTGGTGCTGTTTCACTGGGGGCGGGAAACCAATCAAATGTCTTTATTTTTATTTGCACTTTATTCATACAGGTTGTCTAAGATCTCATTTACCAAAAAAACACCTGTTTTGACAGAACGAAGTAAGCCCAACAAAATAAATAGACTTATGATATATTAAAAAAAAAGAAAAAAAAGACAAAGATTCTTAACAATAAAGTGCCAAGTAATTTCCAGAGAAATGTAGTCATTTTCCACAATGAGAAAAGAATTGGTCATTTTTATTGGACGGGTTGTGAATAAGACTGTCATGACAATGTTCTAAACATGACGGTCCTGAACATGAGTAAGTCTTGATGAATATTTATGATTGTTGTCATCAAGTGTCATTTGGTAAATCATGACACTTTTAATACAAAGTTGACATTATTCCAAATGTCTTCATCATGACAACTTGTCATTTACCAAGAAATCATGATCTGACATAAATTTGTTATAGAAGCATTACTGATTAAACTTTAGCTTTAATAACATAAAGCTACATCATTTTTAAAGATGGAGTTTTAATCTTTTATTCTGTTAGTCTCGTTAGAGAGGATGTCTTATTTACATTTGTGGATCTCTGGTTTATTCAGAAAAACAGTCTCCGGACAAATAAGTAAAATCAACGTGTGTGAGGCGTGTGACTGGACAGGTCTTAAGTCTCCCTTTCTCGTCTTTACACACTAGATGGTGCAGATGCACTGTGAATAGAGACTACCATGGAGCGGCTGCAACACATACAACCTGCTCAGCGGTAAAGAAATCGAACGCAGTAAAGAAACCCAAATGGTCTTTAAATAAAAAATTTAAAAAAGCCTAATTCCTTGTGCCTTCACCACTTTTTTTCTTGAAATCTTCGTCTAACTTAAATAATAAGTCAGAGATATTGATAGTTGAGCCCCAAAATGTTCATACATCTGCCGAAGTTGGATTCATTATTGTTTTTAATTTAACTTTTGGCCGCTGATATATCTCAGAATATATAAAACAGTGTTAAGAGACTATAAATTTTTTGGGAGAGGCACGGAGATGAAAGATTTATCTGTTCATATTTACATTTTATTAACACAGAAAAAGTTCAAAATCTTTTTTTTTGACTTACATTCTTAATAATGAAAGAAAAAATCTTTATTGGCATTATACAGTTAAACTTCTCTTCTAATTGACGACCATCTTTTTGCACATTTTCTCTGGCTTAGGGGTCACAAGGTCTCCTTTCTATTGCCCTAATCTGTAGCTTCCTCCATAGACTGCATCAAATTTGAGTCACGGATATTTCTAGTCAAAAGAAACATGCTGGT